CCCATGATGTGGCTGTGCTCCCTACAGAACACCTACTTTTACCTTATTGTCCTAATCATACTATTACAGAATTGGGTGCCTTTCCTAAATGAATAGATTATGCCAACCCTTGGCCAGTACATCATAATGTCTATGGAAGTTATGAATATATCTTGGATTGGCCTAATAAACTTGATGAAAGGCATTTATATCAAAAATTTATGACCCCTGGTGGATATATAAGTAATGTTTTAACCTCCAGTGGCCGTGGCATACCAAGAGATCTTTGGCACTTGATTGCCACCTCAGATTTTTGTTAACTTTAGTGGCACTCCTTTATCTGATCATGACAATAAAGATTGTAAAGAGGCTCCTTGTTATGGCTTGTGAGCCTGCGTACAATCCCCTTATGTTTTAATGACTGGAAATATTATAGTAAACAGGACAAGAGAAAAATACCATCTAACTTGCTACAGCTGCAACTTGACTAACTGTATTACTAGATATAATAAAGGACAAGACACACTACTATTAAGACAACCTTCTTTTATTATGACTCCAGCTAATATTTCTGAGTGCTTGTATTCTGATATTAGATTTCAAGTTTTACAGGGAATTTATGCTCAGTTAAAAAGACAGTACCATGCTCTTGACCTTATAGTAGTTGGAATAGTTGCTTTGATATCTATTTTAGTTTCTGGCATGACTGCTGCCATAGCTTTATCCAATGGTATTCATAATGCTCGAATTTTTTGAGAATTTAGCAAAAAATACTTCAAAAGCTTTGCAAAACCAAGCAAATATTGATGATAAAATAGAAGCAAAATTAAATGCTTTAGAAGCTACAGTTATTAATCCTGGAAATGAACTTGCTGCCCTTAAATTTAGACAAAATCTTCATTGCCATGCTAATTATATATATGTTTGTTTTACAGCAGCAAAATATAATGCTTCTCAATGGGACTGGAAGAAAATTAAAAATCATTTATTGGGCATTTGGCAGAAAAATAATGGTAGCCTGGATCTTATGGAATTACCATATCAAGGACATTCAAGAAGATCAAATTGCTTCTATGGATCCTGCATGGCTTGATAATCAAATACTTAATGTTGTAAAAGGCTTTAACCCCTGAAATATATTAAAACATTTATTCTAGTACATTTTTGGAATTATATGTTTGCTAAAATTCTATTTTTTATTGTAACAATAGGATGCCAAATCTTCTGAAGAGAAATTAAATGACTTCAAGTCTTAATCCATCACTTGCATTTAAAAAATAAAAAAGGGAGAAATGTGGAAAGCAGTGATAGTGATTGGGAGACCAGTATCTGAGACTGGGGTCCCTGATGAATTCATGGCTGTGGCATGCTTGGTGATTGGGAAAGTCTCTATGCAAAGGTGTAGGATGCAGGGTTGCTATGGCAATGCTCTCCATGGGGACACTCTGTTGTTTTATCAGCTTTGATCTTATTCTCAGGCACTTGCTGCTCCTATGAATGAACTTCCTCGCTAAGATAACCACAATGTTTCACCAGTTGCTGCTCCTGAATCTGCCAGCAAATTAGTAACTTTAAACAGTGGACTTTCTTGAGAGCTGCACAATGCTCCTAACACTTCACATTGCAACTATAGAATATAACTGAGGAAATACCTGCACACTGTTGCTAACTCTGTAACTTTCATGAAAAAAAGAATAATGCTTGCATGGTCTTTAATCTTATCTTTGAGACATATATAATAAAGATTGCTTGTGTAATTCTTTAGACCTGCTTCTCCATCAGAGAGCAGTGCTTCACCTGACCCCAGCTTTATTTTCAAGATCTGCATATGTGACTCTTTATTTTTTCTAATCTCCCATTGCCCTTTGCTGGAACCTGCTAGTTTGGCCGCACTGGTTGCAGCACCTGGGAATCTTCTTAGGAAGTAGACTGTGCAGGGTCTGGAGGCTGTGGTTAGGATTTCTGTCATCTTAAAAATAATGCCAAGACTTTAAGCGGGGGCTTTGATATACTTAGGTTTAACTTTTGAAAAGATGACTGCACTGAGGATAACCATCAGAAGAATCGAGTGGGTGTTAAAACATAAGTTGGGAGGCGTTATAGTCATCCAAGTGAGGAATGATGCCTGCTTAAACTGTTGTGGTGACGTGGGGAATGGGGGAAAGTAGAAGAAATGCCAAAGGTTCCTTGGAGATTTCTGAGAAGCAGGACAGTCAGGGAACATTCCCAGGGGTTGAGTTTATGGGAGGTTTTGAGATTTGTCTTGAGCATGTTGGATTTGAAGAACCCCTGAGATAGTCAAGTGAAGATATTCATAGTTGATTATTTGTTTTTAAAGCTCAAAGAGATGATTGAGCCAGATAGATGAGATAAATTAGAGTATCTAAGCCTTCAAGGTGGGAGCTGAAGCATGAGAGAGATCACGTAATATATGAAAGTCCTCCAAAAAGGTGGTGCCACTACAATGCATCAATAGTGGTAGGAGAAACTGCCTCTTCACACTCTGGATAATAATTGGCATTATTAAGATTTTTTGTCTTTTCCAATTGACAGAAAAAATAGTATATTCCTGTTATTTTGTTATTAACCTTTAAATGATACAGAGCATATTGTTCTATGCTTATTAGCATTAATTTTTTTCCTCTGCTTGTGTGACATGAAAGTACATTTTTTTTTTTCCGAGAGAAAGTCCATAGATCCATCAGTTCTCAAATTGACCCTCAAATGATTCAGAATCACTAATTTGGCGTTGTTTTGAATAAGGAAGTTTAACCTTCTACATGTCAGTCTCTCAAATATTTAATCACTGGTATCAAGTCCCACTTAAGCTGTCTCTTCTACAGGTTACATGTTTTCTGCTCACTGAAACCTATGATTCTTGTCTTCTGAAGCTGAGCCTCCCAAGTGTGGCAGTGATTACCTCCTTGGCTTTGGGCTCACCAGTGCAGACCAAGAAAGATCAGCATATTTTACATTCTTGTCTCCTTTATGTGTCTGGAGACTTCCTGCTTCTAACATTTTCCTCTTCAGGAAACAAGGAAGATCTGGTGACGCTTATACTACAACTGACACTCAAGACTGACGTTCGTTTCCTCCAATCTATCAATTTCTAAATACCAAATCCTTCTTTCTAATCACAGAGCAGCATCAGCCTACGTCATCGGGAGCCTGGGAGGAGGGAGTATTTACTTTCCTATCATTATCAGAGCTGGCTCTTTCTCTTTGTTATCAAGGTGGTGTGCTTTAAGTCACAGAAAGCCATTCCTGGGGCTGTCACTAGGGGGAGTGTAAGACAAATTTTTCACTTAGAAAACTCCAGAAAGGGGAATTGATAATGCTGGATCACAGAAAACAAGGAGGATTTAGAAAGAAATATGTGGGGCTGTGTCTTGCCTTTTACACTGACTGTGGGTCTCAACTAACTGGAAGCAAAAACCTTGATGGAGGTTTCACCTGTAGACAGCATTCTTGACAGGGTGGAGAGTAGAGGCCAAGGAGGTGGCTGGGAGCAAAACTCCTTGCACCTTCCAGAGACAGCAGGGGAAGATGTGCCATGTAGCAGTTAAAGTTTAATGAAGGAAGATAATCCCAAAACATGAGCTCAGGCACCATGATTTCAGAGTTTAAATGATCATTTAGTGAGCCCTATTTAATATAAATCATTATTCAAAATACAATAGATGACAGATAAGAACAGAAAGGAAGAAAGAAGAGAGAGAGGAATAGAGGGGGCGGGGAGAGAGGTGGGTAGAAGGAGAAATTTATTTCTTGGATTAGTAATTTTGAAGCTTGTTTAGAAATTCACAGTATTTATATTTTTCTCTTGCCTAATTTCATCAATATCTCTTTCTTTTTACTGTATCTTTCACTGCCCTGACTCCCTGAGTATATACATTTAAAAACAAATTCAAGTCTATTTCTTAAGCAAAAGAGACTTTAAATCTGATCTTATTGCCCCTCCCAAACCACTCCAAACCCTACCTTCTCACTCTCCCTATCAATAGCCAGGCTTCTTGAAACAATTCTCATGTCTACCACTTCCTAAGTAATCCAGTACTCAACTTGCTGCACTTTGGGCTCTGCTCATATCACCCCAGGAAACACTTTGAACAAAGATCACAAAAGTTAATTGTTCACTGGAAAGGACCCTCTTTTACCTACCTTCCGGCTACCCAATTCCCTTGTGTATGTGTGATTGCAGAAATATTTTATACATGTAGAATAAAATATATTAATATATCCATATATCTTCCGTTTTTCATAAACATACCATGTGTACACACTGTTTTGTACTTACAATGTATCTTGGTGATATTTTCCTTTAAGGAAGTTCCCTCTTTAATGTGCAAGGTGTTCTATCATGTTGAGCTAGCAAAACATATCTAGCCAATCTGCTTCTAATGGACATTCTGTTACTACAAATAATGCCGCAGTGGATAAAGTTGTATATATGTCACTCTACAGAGATGTGAGAATAATTCTGAGATAGAATTGGAATTGCTAAGTCCAAGATTATGTGTGCTTGTCATCTTAACACATCCTGCCAAATAGTTATTACTCTTGCCACAGGTATAAACAAATGATTGTTTCTTCACCCGAGTTAATTTTTCTTTTTGCTAATCTCATAGGTGAGAAAACCAGTATTTTGGTATCTCTGTTTTTTATTGACTCCTTTCTTATGGACTTATGCTGTTTAAGAGCCTTTAAATGTTGCTTGCTTTTAAAATATGATTAGGTCCAATCACACTTTCTTGGCTAGCTCCTTATGGTATAGGGGTACACTCAGACTTCTGAGATGGCCTTTCTTCCCGCTCCATTCTCCCTAACCACTAACTAGACCCCTTCGCCACCTCTTCTCCACACTCAGTGCTTCAGACTCACTGAGATTTTCTCTGCTTCTGAAGATTTTCTCTCTTTGCCTATGTTTGCAATACCTTCAACCTCAGGCCTTATTTGGTGAACAATTATTGTCCCTCAAGACTTGGCTCCTCTGGGAAGTCATTTGTGCTGCCTACCTCTGTGTTTAGCCTAGCTTTAACAAAGTACTTGTGATTTTTCTGTAGCATTATTCCTGGAAGGATATTGAACCTTAATACATATTTTTTAGGTGGGTGAAAGGATTAACATTATTACAACTAAATCTCTTTTATAATTAAACACACACACACACACTCACACACACACACACACACACACACACACACACACACAGAGGTTTCTAAGCAGAATTTCAGATGCCAAATGAAAATTTCCAGATGCATTTATTCTTTTACTATTACTAATAAATTTTCTTTTCTTTCTTTTTCTCCCTGAATTTGATAAAAGCTTCTCAGAGTCCATGCAATTTAAAGTCATTTTGTTCCAAGATGTGATGGTTCAAGGAAAGTATGCTTTTTGCTGTGGCTTTGATTAAAGGGATGATCAAATTTTTGAGACACTATTTAGTTCTAAATTTCTTTTAGTGGAAATGGAAAATAGTTGACTTCTTCATTAGTAGGAGCCATTAATACTTATTGGTTTGACATGGCTTTCAAGGCTCAGAGCCTGATTGTCTTCAGAATGAACATCTCTCATGGTTTCAATTTGGCTCCAAGTAAAACTGATTTCCACATCATGCTTTAGGGAGCATCTCTTCTGTACAGAGAAAGCTGCAGTCCTGGGAACCAGCAAGCCTGCCTGCTAGTCTCTGCAAGTCATAGGACTAAAAGTTTTCTCATCAACAAAGCAAGGGTTTCAATCTGGTTGGTTACTAAGCTCTCCATTAGTTCTGATGTTATCTAATTTTAAATATATGTTTTCACTAATATTTTAAACATGGGGGAAATTTGTTTTCTCAGAAATCAGTTTTACTACATGTTCATTCATTTATCCATTCATTTTCCAGATGTTTCCAGCTATGGCTTGAATGTTTGTGTTCCTTCCAAAATTTATGCTGAAACTTATTCCTAATGTAAAAATATTAAGAAGTGGGGCCTTTTAGGAGGTGATGATGCTATAAGGATAGACCAATCTTATATGAGGTCTGGAAGGCACTAATTAGTCCCTTCTTTGGGCTTCAGCCATCTGCCATGTAAAGATGTTGCTACAAGTAACATTGAAGCTGATGGAGCAGCCCCTCACCAGACACTGAACCTGCTCGTGTCTTGAGCTGTGAATCTCCA